TGAATTTGTTTATTGTGCATACGTACTATAGTATTGCGAGGTAATTTTTACAATAAGCTAGGTTTTCCGGTCACAAAATTTCACAAATTTACCAATTTTTGGTCATTTTTACCGAAACAATGTAAATGCCCTCCACATTTCCATGTTTCCACTTTACTTCCGTGTGACGAGGCGAATTTCTATCTATCTTTTTTCCTCTCCTAATCAATGTTGAAATTGGTTTCGCTCCTATCCATTTTTTGGGTCGGAATCGTCCCCAATTTTCCCTTTTGCCTTGACAGGGATCGAATTTTGGACGACGTGAATCCCTCGAGGCGGAGACGTGTCCATTGAGTAAAGTAAAGTAAAGTGGTGGCCATTTTTTAGCCTGGAACATGCATCCCGAGGAAATGGGATCGGACGGATGGATTGGTTTTGTAATGGATAAAAGAAATCCATCTCTGTCAAGAAGGACACAAAATCACGTCGTGCTGCTGCTCCCTGCTACTTTCCATTCAATGGAGGAAAATGAAAATAAATGCGACATGGTCACGGGCATGGGTATGATTTGGTGGGTGGGATGCATGGGATTACGAATAAGGGATTATGTAAGCTGGATTTTGGGTGGAAAATAAAATAAATACAGCAAGGATGAGACGAGTAAATTAGCTGGGGTAAATTTGGTGACAAAAATTTCCAAAATTTTGGAGAAATTTTGGTTTTTCAAAAGTTGGAAAATTGAGATTAATCGATACAATTTGTAAGATGTAAAGTTCCAATTGAAATTGGGAAATTTTGGAGAAATTTTGTTCGTTTTTTTACGTAAGTTTGGTTCGTCCGTCATTGATACACCTTTTCAAAAGTAAATTAAAAATTTATTTGAAAATTTTGAAAATAAATGCGACATGGTCACGGGCATGAGTATGATTTCGTGGGAGGGATGCATGGGATTACGAATAAAGGATTATGTAAGCTGAATTTTGGGTGGAAAATCAAATAAATAGTTAAGGAACTGCAGTGATGAGACAAGTAAATTGGTTGGGGAAAACTTGGTGACAAAAAATTTTCAAATTTTGAAATTCGAAATTTTGGAGATTTAAGAAATTTGGGTTATTCAAAACCTGGAGAATTGAGATTCATCGATACAACTTGTAAAATGTATATTGGCAATTGAAATTTCGAAATTTTTAAAAATGTGGTTCTTTAATACCGCTAACCTGAGAAAATATAATTAAAGGTAAACAGATTTCAGGTCAAAGTGAAAGTTAAATCATCAAAATCATCAAAATTTTACCAAAATCCATGTTTTTTACAACAAAAATTTGGGAAATTGCGGTTCATCAATATACCTTGTCGGAAGTCAATTAAAAAATTAAAAAATAAAATTGTTTAGATAAAATGATATAATAACCTTAAATTTAAATTACAATGTTCTCGACAGTTTCGAAAAATCACTTTTAATAATAAATTTGTCCCCTTTTACCGCCGTAATGCGTAACATTATGAAACATAAATACTTCAAATGTAAACAGATCGCTGATGGGCTTGTTACAAGTTAAAATGTAAAAAATTCTGAAATTGTCGAAAAATCTATTTTATTTGTTAATAACAAATTTGTTGTTCCATTTTGACGCCAATACGTAGCTATTATTAATTATAAATATCTTTTTAGGTAAATAAACAGATTATTTTTTAGTATGATAAAAGTTAAATGACTTATTTCGTCACGTGACATTTCTAAAAGTAAAATGACTTTGTCTCAATTTCGAACTTTGTTTAAAATTTTTACCAGTGATAATTACAAATTTTAATTCATCACTAATCTCCACCTGGTGGAATTTTACCAATTTGGTAGTCTCATCCATCCCGGTACACACATATTGGTAATTAGTAGTCAGCCCAGGATGCGAAGTCATATAATAAAACTGGACCGACTTTGATAACAAATATTGGTAAACAATTTTTACCAGGATAAAATTGAAGTAATTTTACCAATTTCGTACTGTAATTAGTCGTATATCATCAAACTGGACCAAGTTTGGTAGCAAATATTGGTAAATATTTTTTACCAGGATAAAATTCCAGTCTTTTTTACCAATTACTTACCACACTTTTTAGCCAGCCCATCATTTAGAGTGTTATTTCAAGCAGCAACCTGTATACACACATCTCTCCCATTTTTACCGGTTTTCTTCTTGTTATGCTACCTGGCTGGCTGGAATTGCACGTCTGTATGAAATCCAAGGTGGTCCTGGCACATCATAATCATCACCCAGACACTCGACTACTGCTGGAAAGTGGAGATAATAACGAGATAAATTATTCCCACATTAAGTAAATGCACGGCCCTCCACCTGCGCTTGATTCTAATCGAGTCGAAATTAGTTGGTCGTAATGATGCCGTCATTTTATTTCGTTTCATTTTATGGATGAAAGAACGAGTCAAAACTGAAATGAAATTGTTACCAGATGGATAAGAAAGAAATTCTGAGGTGGGATGGACATATGGTTGGTTGGTTGCTGGTTGGGTTTAAGGAGAAAAAAATGGGGAAGCATCTGCTCTCTTTACATGTTAGGTTTTCTTTAAGTTTTGGGAGAAATGTATGTGTCTACACTCTGAGAAATGAGGGGGGAGAATGGGAAAATAGGTAATTTTTTTACCAGGTCGGTAAAAAAATAATGGACCATTTTACAACAATATTTGGTAACAAATTACGAAGTTCAAGTAAATGAAAATATGTATTTGGCGGGTAGAATTGTTCAAGAAATTTGATGCATTTGTTAAAAAAAATATTTAAAAATTTGAAACTTTGGTGACACAAAAATATTAATTTAGTAAAACAAAAATGTTTGAAAATTTTGTAACAAAAATTTGTAAAATTGTGTGTCACAGATTTGCCGTAGTTTGAAATATGCAGAAATTAGGTCCTCTCAAGGCTCAAAAAATGAGCGAAATGAGCAATGAGCAGAAAAATAAAAAATCAGATTTTTCTGCTCAAACCTTGAACGTACCACTTTTTTTATCGATCATAATTCTTGAGAATCGTGATCTTTATTTGTGGGAAGTTCAATTATTTGTTTATCATTTTAATGGTTCTAAATTCAGTTTCATAATTCATACAATTCCGAAAATAACTGAACGTCAAGAGATATGAGAAATTTTATCATTGTGCATGGCTTTAACATGGCTTTTAATGGGTTTCAACAACAGGCATTGTGAAAATATTGCAGGAGAATTAACGAACAGCATTATCTCAAATAATTCATTTTATATAGCAGCAGTAAACAATTTTATGTATAAATCAAATGCTTAAAATTTAGATGTAATAGTTTCCAATTTAATTTTGAGTTCCAGTATTTTTATTTCGGCTTCGCTGAATCGTAATTTTATCGCATTGAAAATCATTAGATTTGATGTAATTGAAAGAAATGACCGCACTTTTGTCCAGAGTTTCGTCTTTCTCAGGGTCAATCCCAAAACCCGACTGGTTTAACTTCTCTTTAGTCTCTGTGTACGTTTTAAGAAATCTGTCAAATCCATTTTTTATTTGACTTTCTTCGCAATTAAGGGCAAAGCATCTTGGAGACGACGAAGGAATTCAGTGCGGTTGGTCACCTGCTAAAATATTTTTTTGCGATTAAGGATTTGGTTATTCAAAATTACATGTGGATAACAAATTATCATTTACCTTACCTTAAATGAGGTGTTATTGTTGACGACATAATATGCCATGTCAATTTTTACTTGTGCTGTCCAGCGAAATATTTTTCGGCCGCCTACCTCCACGACGCTACTTTTGTTACAACAAATTACGGGATTTGCAACTTTTTCGACACTGGTACGCTTAACCTGGGTCTTGGGACCCATAATGATAAAGAATATGTTTTAGAGAACTTTACTTAATTTTTAAACGAAAAATTGAAGTAAACAAACAACTGATGTGCTGATGTGGAGCAGAATGAGCAGGATTATGAGAGAAAAAATCAACCCAAAACTCGATTTTTTTGTTGAGCAAGAAAATCTGATTTTGAGCGAAATCGCATGCGCACAGCCGAGCAGAAATGATCAGAATGAGCGATGAGCAGAAAAATCAGATCTTTTTTAGAGCTTTGAGAGGACCTATTGGTAATAAAATGGTTGTAAAATTGGTTGGTAACCGATTATTAAGTGGTAAAATAATTGTACTTCGGTAAAATTTTACCAAACTCTGGTAATATATGAGTTTGGTATTACATTTGGTAACGGAGTTTTAAGCGTGTCTGAATTGAATGGCGTACGTCGCGATGTTGTGAAACGGATGCACAACTGGACTTATTTAGGTCCCCGGTGTCCTTTTTCTTCATTTTCGTTGGCTGCCTGGCTGGTTATGTAGTTGGCCTGGAATCATGTAAAGTTTTGACTTTTTGTGTCTGTAGCTGTAAAAGTGAAAATGATTCGTAGAAATGAAGTGAGAAAAATGTAGCGATATTTCATATTGAAAATGCAGATGCTCCATCAGAATTGAAAACCAGGAAAGTTTGGACATTTAATAAAATTAAAATTCGTATTAATCTTTTATAAATAATTTCAAATTATGAAAAACAGTCAAGAGTTGGATGCATGAAATGGGTTCTTTCTTCTTCACGTGGTTTATTGGCATGAAATAAAATCATACATTTTTAGAGTTTTTGTCTGAGCACTGTTCGGATTTAGCGTGTCCATGTTTAATTACCTGTGTCTCGGGCTAGACGAAGTGAACAATTTTGAAAATTTTGATTATTTTACATTAAAAATGCAAATGTTCGATCAGAATTTAAAACCCGGAAAGTTTGGACATTTAATAATATTCAAATCCGTATTTTTCTGCATTTATTTATTTAAAGAACCACAACAAATTAACATTTTTAATACATTTTTTACAAAAATTCAGGATTTTTTTTCACAATTTTTAATTATTTGATTTTGTTTATAATTCAGTATTTGACAAATTTAGACGCCATCTAATTGAATTTTAATTTATAGAATAGATTTAGAAGCATTAGATTACGAATAAATTCAGTGGTTCTGATAATCTTAGTATATTTCTGAAATTTTCGTAGTTTTACGAGTTGTAATATTAATATTTATTATAAACGCATTGTCTTTAAGTATTTTAACCAAGCTTATGTGCTTAGAACAGTGTTTAAAATTATGGATTATGAATTAAAGAAAATTTATAAATTTTTATTTCGTTTTTACACAATTTTATTTATGAAAATTGCTGTTAAAATTATGAGGTTACAAAAATGACAGCTTATCACGTCCCGTTATTACGTTTGTAAGTAACTCGAGAGGGAGAAAATGTTTGTAATGTGCATTCTCGGAATATGTAATGGAGGAGACGGAGCAGGAGAAAAAAGCAGGGTTACAACTTAATTACGAGGTGGGAACAAGGTTTGCGTTCTTGTCGAGGTGGTGGAATTACATGAAATATAAAAAATATATAGAAAAGAAATCCGTCCAACAATTCTTTTCTGTTACTTGATGGTTAACAACAGAACTGTTGCGGTGTAAGTTGCTTGAGGGGCGTACGGATGAGATGTGGTAGCTTTTGGTAGTCAGGCTGGTAAATTGCGATCCGGTAAAGAGTTGAGAAAGTTGAAATTTTTACCACTTTTTTAGGGAAGTTTGATACTGAGGAGAACATTGTTACCGAGAGGAAATTGTTCGAAAGTTTGTTTGGTAAAAATTGGTAATTTACCAAATTTTACCGGGGAACTAAAATTTTATTCTGTTACCAAAAGACTTAATTTCATGTTCATGGTAAACAATATTTCTAATTTTGCAACTTTTTGTTAAATAAAAACACATTTACCCGGTAATATCTACCCGGTAACCTAAGATTAATCCGGTAAGATTTGCGGTAAAAATTTACCAAACTTGCAAAACCTTCCTATTCTCATTTTCCTTCTGAAATCTGCTTCCACATTTTTCCCAACAAATTAATCTCGGTAAAATTTTTTGGTAAAATTTTTACCAAACTCCTCATAAAACCTTCTCATCCCCCCCTTTTCACTTGTAGAATCCAACATTTTTGCCGCACACTCCCCGTAACTCATACCCTCTCGCTCTTCGTCGTCTCTTGTTGTCAAGTTTTTTTTGTAAAAGTTTTTCCTGCGAGTTTGTTGGTGGAGGTAGGAAGGCGGATCGGTTTAGTTGGGTCGGAGTCTATAAATCCATCAGCGGAAAGTTTCCCTCTGAAGGCTGTCATCCCCTGGCAGCACCTGTAATAAGGATAAGAACGAAATAATTAAAAATCTCCACGATATTAGACCACATTAAAATAATCACGAGTCATAAATCCTCCGCGTCCCCGCGTCACGTCAACTTCTCTCTTTGAGAAGAATCGTATTTAACTGACCCTACTCTACGAAAGCCTATAATACGTACAGAATATGTATTATGTATGCAGGGTTACGTATGTACCATTGGTAAAAGTTTACCGGGGGAGCGAGATTTTACCGACTTTATACTATATGCTGGGTTACGATCGGTGAAAACCAGGGTAGTGGGAGAAACTGCATTTTTTCGACTTTTTATATTGTGCAGGATTACCACTGGTAAAAAGTAAGTTTACCGGAGGAGTGGAATCTAGGCATTTTTTCCACTTTTTACAATATGTTGGTTTCTATTGGTAAAAATCCGAGTTTTTTTCCACCCATCCAAGACACATAAATGAGAAATTAAAAAATATGGAAATCTACCACTGTTTACCAGCATTTAAATCGATGGAAAACGCGAACAAACAATTGAGGCAATTGATTTACGCAGGTCTTGGCAACTTTGTAAAATCCGTAAATTCCGTAAATTCCGTAAACTTACAAACTTTCCCCATCAATGAATGAAATGACTGAAAATTTAAATTAAATTAAAAATCCATTGCAATGTTAAAAGGTCGATATTAAATTTCATGAAAAATAAATTCACCTAATGTTAATCAGGTGTACTGTTTTTCCACTTCAATATTTAGGTAGGGATTTGTAACTTTGTAAAATATGTAAACTTACAAATTTGTACTAGCATTCCCAAGGAAAATTTGCTCACAAATTTTTATAAGTTTACTCAGATCTAGAAGGGCGTCTCTTTATTTTGTAAAAGTTTATGAAATTATTTTACAAAATTTACGCATTTTACAAAGTTATCAATGAATTGTCTCAGTCATTAAACGGGCGATCAAAGACTTTTTCCCATTTTTCACTTGGTGGTAAAAACCACTTTTTCCCACCTACCCTAAGAAAAAAAGTGTTTTGGATGGGAGAAACGAAACCCTGAAGTAATATGAGGTAGGCCAGTGTGGATCGACGCGTTTATTATTAAGGAGATGAAGCTCGGCAACGTTTTTTATGGAAATTGGAATGAAAATGAGAATCATGAAGATGACTTTTTTAAAATATAAAAAAAGTCAGAGAAAGAAATATTGACTGAATTTTAAATTTTATTTGAGCATCAACATCGTGGAATATTTGCAAAATAGATATTTACGTATTTAAAAAAAATATGTCAAAGATTTTTTTCCAATAATAGAGAACATCTTAATATGTCTGAAAACCTACAAATATGCAAAAATATTTTGAGATTTTGTGATCTTTAAGAGTGAAAAACTTAACGAAATTTGATAAGAATCTGACGTTTCGTTTTTCTAGTGATATTTTGAGGCTTCGAAAAGATATATCTAGAATAAAATGACAAATACATATTTATGAAAATTTACTCAACTTGGAAACTTGACATACCTATTTTTAGGAAATTTAATAAATCTGTGACAGAAAAAAGACAAGTTTTTTTTCTGGATGGGACACATTCATTATTAAGTTTTTAAGCTGGATTTAAGTTCTCGTAAGAAATTTGGAATCGTGTAAGACAATTATCTAATGTAAAACATTAAACCACATATTTCTGAAAATTTACTCTTCGGCTTCAAAATTTTACGTATTTTTATTCCTTAAAAATTCTCTATTTTCGATTAAAGAGTTGATTTTTACGAAGTAAATAGGAATGTTTTATTTCGGACGAAATTCCTCAAATCCGTAACAAAAAGACAATTTTTGATTTTCTGTCCAGATGGGACACATTTATTTTCATAAATTTTCATTCTTGGTGTTTTAACTTGAATGTTAATTGTCTTTAGAAATTTAGACTATACTAAAGCAGTAACAAATATTATCATATTAGAACACATATTTCTGAAAATTTACTCACCGACGTGGAAATTTGCATACTTTAATTTTTGATTTTGGAAAAAATAATTGAATACCTACAATATTTATTTATTGTTTATTTACAGAGATCGTAAAAATTTGGAAGTTTGGATGGCACGGAAGTTTTGAAACAGATTGGAAACGATTTGAAAGGAAAGAAATTGTGTATACGAGAATAAAAAAAAGAAGAATAATTTTTAAAAAATAGTACAATTCGACGTCGGTGGAATTATTTAAAGGTAGGTCATCTGATTTTGTAATAGAATTAGGTGTGTAGCAACGGATTTACTGCGTAAATTTGCATATTTATTATTATTATTATTATTTATTATTTTTAGTAAATTTAGCACGATATTGTTTGGTTTTAATAAAATTAGATTAATTTTAATTCATACGGTAAAAAATCATGAGGCAAAATTTACTGTGAAATATGTAGTCACTTTTTTGTCCTTTGATAACAAGAGGGCAGATATGTATTTATTTTCAACTATTTCATTTGATGATGACCAACGGTCAAACTTTGTGAGATAACTCTGAACTCGAATAGATCACAAAAATTCCAAAATATTTTAAAATAATATTTCATATTTCTAGGTTTTCTGACAAATTATTTGAAAATCTTTTACATATTTTTTTTTTTGAAAATGCATTTATTTTGTATTTTGTATTTCGACGAAGTGAGACGAAATCTGTTTACTGAAAGAAATTGGAGTGCGAAAAATACATTCAAAAATACTAATGTGAAAATTCTTATTTTTATGTTGTTTTCGTACATACTTCGTAAATATTTTGGCTTTTTTTGTAAATCTTTTTGTATCAATTTTTATTTGTGAAAATAATTAAATAACCGTTGAAAAATTTATATATCTATAAAATTCAAAATTGGAATCCATTTTCACATTATCTACCTATCATTAATAGTCATGTAAATTTCTCAAAATTTCAAAATCTGCGTCAAACTCATCCGAAACATACAAAACCCATGAACAAACATTTCTGTTTCAAAAATATTTAAGAGGAGGTTCCTTCGCATCTGGGCACCATTAAAATTTTTCTTAAACTTCGCAAATTTTCAAAATCTGCGTCAAACTCAATCAAAAACCATAGAAAACCCGACACGGATTTAAACGTGCCAAAAATAAATGTGGCTCAAATTCAGTTAAGGTTCTCAAAATTTCAAAATCTGCGTCAAACTAATCTAAAAACTAACAAAAACAAAAACTATAGAAAACTCAACAAAGATTTAAACGTGTCAAAAATAAATAAACTTGATCTCCGTCTCAAATTTATTTATCATAAGTTTCTCAAAATTTCAAAATGTCGAAACCTCCAAATTTCAAAACCTCCAAATTTCAAAACCTCCAAATTTCAAAACCTCCAAATTTCAAAATCTGCGTCAAACAAATCCAAAAATCTGTCCTCTGATAATAAGGGTGCCATGCAGTCCCATCATTAGCGCAGGGCCCTCCCCTCCCAAAGAATGGAAGAAAGGGAACAATGAGGTCTCGCGTTTTAGTGAAAGTCTTGTAAAGTTGGTTGGTTCGTTGGTTGTGTGCGCTTTCGGAGTGAAAGGACTTCTCTCTCCGACTTCTTTTGTGAGTATTCCGGGAGTTTTGTGTTCCGGATTGGCAGATTTATTGCCTTCACTCCAACCGGGCATCACACACACACACACAAACACCACCCCGACCCCAAAACCCACCCCACCCAGACCCAGACATCCCACGCAGCAGGTTTTTGGGCAACAGAGTGGAAAACGAAGTGACAATGGGAAAAGAGACAATTTTTGGAAGGATAATTTAGTTTTTTTGGATGAGGTTGACGTAGATTTTGAAATGTTTTGAAATTTAATAGGAGAATTAATAATGTTAGATAAGGTGAAAATGGATTCCAAATTTGAATTTTTGAGATATAAATTTGTAAATGTTTTTTTTTAATTTTTGGAAAAGTTGACAATGTGAAAGTAGATAATTTTGGAAGTAAATTTATTATTTTGGATCGTTTGACGCAGATTTTGAAATTTTAGAAAGTTTAATATGGCAATTAATGATTGTTAGATAAGGTGAAAGTGGATTCCAAATTTGAAGTTTTGAGATATAAATTTTTAAATTACAAAAAAAAATTTGTACAAGTTGACAATGGGAAAGACAACCTTTTTAGAAGGAATTTTTGGAAGGAAATTTATTATTTTGAATGAGTTCGACGCCGATTTTGAAATTTTTGGAAATTTAACATGACAGTTAATAACGTTAGATAAGGTGAAGACGAATTCCAAATTTGAAGTTTTGAGATATATAAGTTGTTAAGGGGTTTTTGAATTTTTTTGGATGAGTTTAACGCAGGTTTTGAAATGTTGGGAAATTTAACAAAATGAAGTATATATATAGATACATGCGTGCGACGAGTTTTTATGGGTTTTGTTTAGGTAGGGGTGAGTTTGACGCAGATTTTGAAATTTTGTGAAATTTCAGATTGTTTTTAATGATGCTCAGATGAAACGGAAATGAGTCTGCAAGTTTTGGTTTATTTTTTTAGTGAGACGTTTCAATTTTTGAGGGGTTTTTAATTTTTGTGGATGGGTTTGACGTAGATTTGGAAATTTTGAGAAATTTAAAGTAACAATTAATAAAAGTTCGATGATTTGATCGTAAATTTCGTTTTTAATGTTTAAGAGGTGTAAATTTTTAAATAAAGAGTTTTTTTGAAAGTTTAAAAAAAAATTTTTTTTGATTAGTTTGATGCAGTTTTATAATTTTGAGCAATTAACGAAACCATTAATGATGCGTTGAGTTTTAAAAGACTTGGTTTGTGAGTTTGACGCAGATTTTGAAATTTTGAGAAGTTTTAGATTATTTTTACTTAAATCTAGATGAATTATAAGATATTTCAATTTTCGTGAGATTTTCTTTTTGTGAAGTTTAATGAATGTATTAATGCTCTGAAGAAATATTGTTAATTTTTAAGATATTAAAATTTTTGGGGGATCTTTTTGAACGAATTTGCTTCAAATTATGAAAACTTTTCGTTTTAGGCCTTTTAAGATGGCCTTATAGATTTGTCAAGATGTCTGTCTGTCCGTCCGTCTGTAGGCACGATAACTCTCTTTAAACAACAGCTATCGAGTTGAAATTTTGCATGCTTCATCTTCGGGTCAAAAGTAAGGATGAGTTCGGAGATGAGCATGATCGGTCAAGTGGTTGGCAGGTGGGGGTCTTTTCTATCCAGGTGTGTTGCCATTAACTACCAAGATGGTATTAATGCTATCTTAAAAGACCCCGCAAACTTGCTTGAGTAGGTTTTTCTTCTGTAAATTGATGAATTAAATTGAATATTTTGAACGTCGAATTTCATAATTTGTTAGAACTTAAGAAATAAATTAAGTTGCAGATATGGAGTTTGCAAAATCAAGACTGTGGAAAATCAAATCTTTTGTGAGTTTTTGTGATTTTTTTGATTTGTACGATTCGTGTGATTATGTAGCAAAATGGAACAACTTCCTTTAATACGTGTTTTATACCATCCTCATTTCGCACAAAATTCAGCGCATTCGCCTTATGCGCATTTCCATATGCGACCCGAATGTTGATCAAAGTTCATCTTTTATACACAAATCAAATGCAAACTGCAACTAATCGGAGGAATAAATTTGACTCGTTGAATTTAAATTTGCAAAAGCACCAAGTTAAATAAATAACATTTGATCGATTTCTGCAAATGAGTTCAAAATTCCCCAAAATTCCCCCAAAAAATCGAAAATCCTACCCATCCTGCGTCTTCCCCCATTTCCAACTAAATTGTCCTCCTCTGACCAATGGAAGCTTCAAGTTTATTACGCGATAGCCAAATTCTTCCCACGTTTCACTCCACGAAAAAAAAGAAGAAAACTACACTAAACTAACCTTTCTTAACAAAAGGGGCCCTTAATAAAGCTTGTCGAGCTGAGATTTTCCATTCACTCTTAGAAATCCAGCAATAAAATAATGCCAAGCCAGCTGTATGCTCAAACATAATACCGTGTAGTAATAACTCGGTTATTGAAGTTTGCCATATCGGTCGGTAGCGAATTTGTACGGACCGAGATAAATAATTTTGATACCAGGCGGTAGCAATTTTAATATCAAGAAATCAACACCAAATTTGTAATACCAAGCTGTATTCATATATCACCCTAGTAAAGTGGTATTGATAAGTAATATCGTGTAGTACTAAATAGCTCGGTATTAAAGTTTTACCATTACGGTAGAAAATGTTTACGGACCGGTAAAAATTGCTACCAAGTGGTAACAATTTTAATATCAAGAAATCAATACCAGATTTCTAATACAAATCGGAATTAGTATATGGATCTACCTAATTGGTACATTTTTATAAGTTAAATATACCAAATTTTTACGGGCTGGTACAATTTTAATACCAAGCGGTAGTAACTATACTACCGAGAAATCAATACGCCAAATTTCTAACAGTGTATTCCTCCAGAGCAAAATGATACACAAACTTTTTCCTATTTTCTTTTTGCACGTCCCTTTTCAACAACAAGTTAGAAAATAATCTGTGCTGGAGGGGCGACCCGGACAACAATGGAAGTCTGAGCTCGAGAGGTGGACCAGATTGGTGCAAAAAGATTACGAAATGCCTCCACCTCTGGAGAAAGAGACCATTGTGTTTCGTCTTTTTTCTGTAAAGGCATTGTTATCGAGAGGAGAGGAGAAAGAAAGCTGGAAGGCGAGCAACAGCAGCACAGCGATTGTATTTTTTTTCTCGCGGAGGATTATTTTATTTTGATGGAATTGAGAAGATGCTTCACTCAGACAGAGAGAGATATTTGTGTAATGAGATTTTATTTATGAGAAAGAGACCAGGAAAATGGAGCAGGGTTTCGGAAACTTTAAGATTTTTAGGATTTTTTTAAGAAATTTATTTTTTGGGAGAAGGTTTCGATTTTTCTATAACAAAGAAAGTAGTGGAAATTCATTTGCACAAGGTTTGCAGAGTTTAGGAAACATTCAAATGCTTAAGAAATTCATACAGTCATTGGCAACTTGTAAAATTTGTGCGATTTGTAAAAATAATTTTTCAAACTTTTACAAAATATGGAGACGCCTTTGATCTAAGGATTAGTAAGTTTACGCAAATTCATAAGCTAATTTTCCTTGGAAATGTCTAAAGTTTTGTAAAAATTTGTAAGATTACGTGCATTTTTTGCATAAAGTTTCTGCAGTTTTTAAATAAAAAGTTTCAAACTGATTTTTTCAGGGTTTGAGTAAAGTCGGTTATGATTTTTTGAAAATTTTTTAAATGGATTTAATCGATTAATCAGGTAGAGTAATGATTTTACTTTTAGTTTATGCGAATTAACCAAAAATTAATAAATATCTCAACATTTTTTTTAATTCAAATTTTTATGAAATTTTTTGAGTGAATTTTACGAAACCCTGCCTAGTATGGATGGATGTAGGATAAAAATGGGGTCGGTTTCGTCGAATTTGGTGTGTGTTGCTTGCTTGCCTGGCTCGATTTTATTTTGTGGATGGATGTGATTCGATTATAAAAAGAGGACTCTTCTCTCTCCCACCGGGGGATCCGCCATACAACACAATAGCCTCCCAGCTCTTCTTCAAAGGGGGATGTGCAACAAAAACGTCCACAAAGGCAGTAATAATTTCAAAATAATTTCGAAAAATTATAAATAATTATTGTCACCGGTCGGTAACAAGTTTTCTATCAAATCATAGAATTAGCAAGGCTCATATCATGGTTTTTTTAGAAGGAAATTTACAAAATCCTGGTTGTTTCTTATAACTGAATTTATCACTGAAAAGGAAGAATGGTTATCTAGATTTTAATTTTCGTAGGAAATTTAAAATTTCGAGGGTAAACATTGTTACCAATTAGTTTACCAGTGCAGTAAATTGGTAATAATAAAATTGTTACTGAAATAGAAGTCGAATCATATCAAATGTGTTTCACATTTCGGGAAGAAAACGATCGACACCGACAAATTTTTCGGCGGGGGCGCCAATTTTTTAAATTTTCTGCGGGGCGGCGCAGCGACGTAACATTGAAGGAATATGAAATCAGATTATGGCGGCAGCGGCGGCGGGTAAAATTCTACCGCCCGACCAAAAAATACTACCGCCCGCCCAAAAAAATACTACCAACCTCTAATTTCCCAGCGACAAAATTTAAAAATTTGAAAAAAAATCCTTACCACAAATTTTCCGCCTTTTCTGATGACGTACTTTCTGCCCCGCCCATACATATATCTATCGCTAGCTGTGGGTCGGGTTGTTGTCTCCCGTTCGTCCGTCCGTCCGTGAGTCCATTGTTCCAGCACAAATCGAATCGTGGTCCGGGGGGATTAACGCGCTCGCTGACGAGGAGGAGAGCGAAATATAATAAGATTTCGAAAAAAATGGACGGATGGATGGATGGATTATGTCGGAGAGAAGGAGAGGAGGGGATAAAATAAATAAATACCAAAACGAATCCGTGACGAGATGGATGAGGGGAAGATGGAATTATATTTACACATTTTTTCCAATACCACCACCGCAACGAAAAGTTTCTGAAATTAAAATTATTACAATTATTATTCATACATTTTTCTGGGGATTATGATGTATCGATTTTTTTTTAAATTTGATGAATTCATGTCGAAAGGGAAATTAATTAAAATTGAGCGATGGAATTATATCGCTTTTCCATACACCAACGTGACCAAAAGTTTCTGAAGTTAAAATTATTTATAAGTTTTCCATGCATTTTTGTATTACTTTTTTCAGACATTTTGCGAATTAATTTTCAAAATATGGGACAGGTTGTTATAAATTAAATAGTTAAAATTATTCATAAATTGTCTTGGTGGACTATACATAGTGGGGTCATAAGTTCTCGTGAAGGCATTTCTTGTGATAAATCACAAAGTATTAGAGCTATCTGTTAGAAATTTTTATGGGTTAACAAGGTATTAATATTGTTTAGAAATCATAACTTCTTTTTGAAGATTTCGTTCACGGGCTTGTACGCAAGACATAAGTCGTAGCGGAGACTGCTGGATCGCGGCACGCACGGTTTTCAGGGGAAAAGCGCCCAGATCTTCAGTAAGTATGACCTCAGGCCTTCCACACTTGTGTGGGACTTAGTACATACCTAGACCTATAATTTTGACCACTATTCATAATTTAGGGGATTAAGGTCTGTAGATGCTGAGAACCCTTCTTGGGAGGAAAAAAAGTCACGAAAATTCGTCGGAAACCATTTTTGGGCAATTTTTGCACCATGATCAGGAGCAGAGCATCGTTGAATATCCAATGTTAGTTTTCGAAGAGTTCATGGTCCAGGCGATTAACTGTTAGCTTTTGGATACTCTGAAAATAATTCTTGGCTCGAACATATACCCTTTGCGAAAAAAACGGAGATTTGCTTTCTCCAGCCATCTCGCTTCCATCTACACTTTGGTGATGACTTCTAATTTACTTCCGCATACTGAAAGGGACGTCAAACTTCCACAGAACAAATATCCAGCCATTTTGTTTTTTTAAATTTTTCTCCAACAGTCAAAATCTTCTCATTCGTGAAGAGGAAACTCGGTACCTTTTGCCCGCGTACCGTGTACGAAGCGCTTTGCTTCAGTTGACTAGATTCTTCTTTTGCTTGTTAGTGATCACATGACAAGTATCCTCCCGCATAGCCTTAACCCTAGGGTCATTCCTTAGTGCCCTCATGATGGATGATTTGGATGCATTAGTTTGCAGAGCTAACTTCTTCTGATGAAAACGAGGATTTCGCCAAATTCGGGCTTTCCATACTTTCACCATGGCTGGTGTCCGAATTGATCGAGGTCAACCGGATCTCTTCTGGTCATCAGGACTACCAGTATCCTTCTAAGGTTTAGCTATGTCGTTAACCGTCTGGAATTTTTCTCCAAAGTTCTGCAGAATTTTAAAATCTCACATATTTTTTTTTATTTGGAGGACTAGCTAAAAATTATAGATGTCTTTGTGAATTTTATCGCCATTTGACCAATTCTTCATATTTTTAAAAACCTTTATCATATATTACTGAGCACAATTTGGGCAATCAGTGGCAATGAAAAAACTCGACGTCGGCAAAATTTGGCGCCAGAATTCAAAGCTCAAACTCGTTCACGAGAACTTAAGACTCTACTGTGTAATGTATTGTTTTTTTAAGAAAGTTTGTTGAAGAAATTGGTAAAAAATACAACTAAAATTGAAGGATGGAATTATGCACCATTTTTTTAATCACCATCTTCAGTGAAAAAATTTTGAAATAAAACTAAAATTAAAATTTCACATGTATTTTTCCATGAATTATTATGTATTGATTTTTTTTCGGCAAGGTGGGGAAAATAGGGGCGAAAATTTTATAAAGTTTAGCGACGTTAGTTGGTTACGAAAGAAATTGAATAGATAAATTGTACTAGATTTCCAATTGTCACGGTTTTATATTTAGAGTTCAGGAATTACTAAAATGATTTTTTTTCACTGGATTATAATTATTTTTATATACTTTGAAAAATTCATGCCGACGAGAAAGTAAGATTTTAACAAACTCTGGTAACATAGGTTTACAGGAGAAAATATGTAAATTACCTAATTTAATTAATAACATTGTAAATATATCGTAACCTTGTAAATAACTTGTATAAAACCTCTCATACAAAATGAACCAAGAAAAATACACGTGCCCGTTTAGACAAGCATATTTTTAAACGTTGTATACCTCTCTGTTTGTTTATTTTTTTGCAAAAAACTGCATACATTTGCAAATAAATGCAAAACTAGAATGAACGCTTTATTACACAATAAATTCGTTAAAATACCAAAATTCCTTACCAAATCTAAAAAAAACTAAAGATTAACCCTTTCCCCAAAACCACCACATTTCCACAAACACGTGCAAATTTATTGCTCCCTTGACCTTGACCGAAGTATATAAGTAGTTGCAGTGCAGAAAACTGCATAATTTCGCAATTTCCACGCAAAAAAGTGGAATGCACTTACGCGATTAATAAGACGTGTAATGGTATCGGGTTTTTAGTAGTCGACTCCTCGACTCGAGAGAGAGAGGAAAAGTATAGGAGCATAAAAGTTTATGAGGCAATAAAATTAGTGGAATGACTCTTATCGTCACGTTAACAAGTCCATACGACCGACTACTTATGGGTCAGGTTACTTACTTTACTTTACTCACTATCTACCAGAGAAGACATTATGGTCCCCATAAAATAAAATAAATATGTGTTTATGTACGTATTTATGCGTTTATTTACTAAACCGCATAAACACATGAAGTTGTAAGTAGCGTTTAGTTTTTAAGTAGGTGGCCGGCTTTTTTAGGGTGAACTTTATTATTACGTGGACGTATTTGTTTTGTGGTGGATGGAGGATTATTAGGGATAAATAAGTTTTGGGGGGATGTTTATTAATAGATTTTATTAAGGTGGATGCGTAATTAATTGAGGAGTGATTAATTAAAAGTATGACTATTTTTAAACATTTATGCGAAAATTATAATGAATTTTAGCTCTGTGAAAGGTGTAAATTAATAAAAAGAATGATTGATTTTTTATGGTAGAGGGTAGTTTAGCTTGAGGAAAAGTTGGAGAATTTTGAAACTTGTTGGAAATTTTGTAAAAAAATTTTTGTCAGGAACCATTACTAATGATCTATTCATATAATTAACATAGATTAATTAACATGGATTTTTCATTTTCGGCGAAAAAGTGATACAGATTTAACAAAAACTTGAAAGTAAGATTTTAATTTTGCCCAAAAATATTTTAGATTGGTTAAAATTAAAGTGAGTTATCTCGGAAAAGTTTGTAAGTTTCAGGAGGAAAAATATTTTTATTTTTTTGTGCAACGTTAAATTTATACAAATTCAAAACAGCAAAAAAATAAAGTACGATAAATATTCCAAGTTTTTGAATATTGTTTGATTATATTTATTCATTCATCGTGATGAATATTATGTAAATTAGGCAATCGTAGTTATATGATTTTTGATGTGACTCTCTTCATCAAGTAATTCAGAAATAAATTAAGGGGATCACCTAAGAACAAGAATGGGAAGGTGTAATCTGGATTAGTTATGAAGGAACGCTGTGAACAAGGATTTTTAATTTTCGGCTAAAAAGAAGTACAAATTTAACAAAAAAATTACCGTAAAATTATAAATTTCGTAATTTCGATTCATAATTTTTAAGTTTTAAAAGGAATTGCATATTTAAAATTTTTTACTAAAATTAAAATTAAATTAAATACAATTAACAAAAAATTCAGAATTAAGTATGACAAAATTCCAAGTTTGTGAATATTATTTGATTATTATTTATTCATTCGTCGTGATGAATATTATGTAAATTAGGCAATCGTATTTATACGATTTGATGTGACTCTCTCTCTCTTTATTTAATAAATAAATTTTAGCGTGTGGATTGGAGTGGAGTTTGCATAGTAATGATGACCACGAGAAGAGAGAGAAGTGAATAATAATCGGATGATGGAGATGAGATGCACGCATGGCTGGGTGAATATTATTCGGGATGCACGTGTTTAAAAGGACATTAATTAAAATTTGGAGAACCATATGCATCCAGATGCCAAAAGAGAGACAATATTATTCCCTTCTTCGTGCCAGACACGCTTAAAAAAGATGGGGAAATAATTGGTAAAAAATGTTTGGTAACAAAGTTACCGAAACGTGGTAATCATTTTAAGTTTGGTAAAATTTTAAATATTTATAAACTCCGGAGAATTTATTAATTACGTGTCGAAATTTTTGATAAAATAATTGTAACGCTTATATGCCACTAAATTCAAATTTGTTACCAATTTGGTCCCCAATTACCAAATTAGCCGTTATAAATTGTTAGTGGTAAAATTTTGAATAACAGAATGGTAACAATTATTTGCCACGAAATTCAAATTTGTTACCAACTTGGTCTTCAATTACCAAATAGCAAAGATTAATCCTGGTAGAAATTGGTAATTATTTACCACGAAATTCCATCTTTTTATTCTCAGGTCATATCCATCGTAGCAAATCGCAGCATTCATTTACCATTCAATTCACCTTTATTACCAAATTGGTAAATTTGTAATGTGACCAAACACTAACATTTATTACGGAATTATTACAATTTCTGGGCTAAATTTTTCCCCCATTTTTAAGAGTGCTTGCCCATCTTTTGTGGTGTTGTTATGCAACAAAGTTGATGGGATGGGATATGTTGGAGGATAAAATAAAGTTGTGTTTTGTGGATGTCACGACGAACGAACGAGGGAGCTGGATGGAGGAGGAGGGTGAAATATGGCTGAAAATTCAGGTCTACATATCTCCCTCCACAAACTAGAAGGGTGTGGACCTTAAGGATTTCTGCAGAATTATTTGCGACCCTTCATGGTATAATTAATTTTAGTGTGCCCTTGACCTTGACCTCATGACCTCAGCTCAGAATTTATTTACCACGTGCTTAACGCATGGCCCCCAAAACAAAGTAGGAAATGGAAACGCTATGGCTGCTGACGAAGCCAGAAAGGATC